TTTTTTTGAGAAAGTAAAAATGCACAAAGTTTCCTGTGAGGGGTAGGTTTAGGGGTAGGGTTGGTGTAGGGCAATAGCACATACAGTTTGTACAGTATAAAAACCATTACGCCTATGGAATGTCCCCATAAAACATGGAAACACAACATGTGTGTGTGTGTGTGCGCGTGTGTGTGTGTGTGGGTGTGAGCGCGCGCGTGTGGGTTTGGGAGGGGGTGACGTCATTGTCGTTTCTATGGCGGAGCTGAACTCTTCAAAGTTTCTCTGGTGAGTGTTTATCGCTTCTCGAAATGCATTATATGTTTTGTATTTGTAATGGTCGTGTCACACATCTGATTTTTGCCTGGTGATTATAAAAATGTAACTGGTTAGTGAAGTGTTTGTAGAGTTTGCTGTTTGATTTGATAGGTTTGTGTAGAGAAGAAATAGGGCCGCGGAGGGAATAAGTAGCTACTCGACAGTTCCTTCACCACTTCGTACTAGTGTTTCTCTTTATACGTTCATAATAATAAGGGATGATAGCCCGGAGAATAAAGGTTTTCCCATTAAAGTGTGTAAAACCGTTTCCGATTAAGACATCTTACCGACAGACTCCTGTTTGTTTGTTTGTTTTGAATCCACACAAACAGACGTTATACAATCATTAACAGTCCGACAACATTAAGAGCTTACGGGCAAAATCGCGTTTGTTTGTGGATCCGAATCGTTTTTATTAAATGTACAGACTCTGATAACTACAGCAATACTATTCATTTAATGCAGTAAATGTGTTTGATCTAAACTCGCATGATTGTGTGTTATTTTGACAGCTCATTAAGGCTAACTTGAATCAGGATTGCCTGAATGTTTGTTTGTTTCATTATTATGACACAATTTGTGAAATTCAAGTTTCTGTAGTTTGTCAGTACAGTTATGTAAATACAGATATGTAAAACCCAACAACACAGTAGAGATATTCTTAATGAAATAAGTGATATTAATTCTCCAACTGGGTGAAAACAAAAGTGTCTTTCATTAAATTCATTAAAAGTTTCATTTCGTTGTTTTTGACCCACATAACTGTGCACTCTAAATAAAAAAGGTTGTTACAACATTGTAGATACCAGTGAAATGTAACAATTCTCTATTGCACATCATAAACTACTAGCTTAACTAATATAAAGTCCAAACGTGATTAAAGACAAGGAGGCATCTAGTAATAAAATAAAAATAAATTACAAGCAATAGCACAAATAAATACAGTAGAACTAAAATACAAATGATAAAAGCAGTGAATTAGTTTTTCAGGTATGTCTAAGTAGTTTTCAGGTAAGAAATACCACAGAAACTGAATAGTCACATGCAAGATAACAGAGCATAGTCTTCACTGTATGAATTAAAATGACACTGATTGTTATTAAAGCAACAAAAGTGATTCAGTCAAGAGCAGTGAGTGATTCTCTCTTTTTGTTGTAGTTTGATTAATATTATGGACACAGACAGCACCAGGTATAGACCTAATGGACATATTCAAAATACTGACACACATCCAGTTTTATCCCAGGTAAGACTCAAACCACTGGAGTGCGGTTCCTGAGATGCCCTTTGCCAATAGGGTTGACAGGAGGATCTGGTGGTTCACCGTATCAAAAGCAGCGGACAGATCCAGCAAAATAAGTATAGAAGATTTGGAAGCCGCTCTTGCCAGTCTTAGGGCTTCAACAACTGAGAGCAAGGCAGTCTCGGTTGAATGTCCACTTCTGAAGCCAGATTGGTTGCTGTCCAGGAGGTTGTTCTGTGTGAGAAAGGCTGAGACTTGGTTGAACACAACTCGTTCAAGTGTTTTTGCAATGAAAGGAAGAAGGGAAACCGGTTTGTAGTTCTCTAAAAGAGATGGGTTAAGGGTGGGTTTCTTATATATATATATATA